GCACATCCGATCACACTACTATCAGTGGCCACATCAATAATTAACTGCCCCCTATAATTAACAACTCCCCTCCACGATCCAGAAGCACCACATTCTGGTCATGGACAGACAGCACTATCCATCTTTTTCGAGAAGCCCTTTCACGCACAAATCTCAACCACCATCCAAACCAACACGACCCACGCCCAGTTGACACCTTCTGGCAATTCTGGCGCGACAAAGTCCTGAACATCGCCCAAGAACACTGCCAAGTTACTCGCACTCACCCCCCCCCCCCCTTGGGACAGGAAGAATGTGCCAGCACGACCATGGATATCAAAGGGCCTCTTGAAAGAGATCAAAGATAAGCACAGAAAACACAGAATATACCTCCACTCACGCTCGCCCGACGACTGGAACACGTTCACTGCCCAAAGAAACCGTGTCACAACCCTCCTGCGTCGTGCAAAATCGGATTTCGTAAACAACTCAGCAGCCTCCTCTACTTCCCTACACCGCCTCATGAAGCACCTAACTACAGCTACAAAACAACGCATACCCGAACTCGTCAGCCAAGCAACTCCTGCAACGACACCAGCACAAAAAGCCGCTGCCCTCAACGAATTCTTCATTTCACAGAGCAAGCTGTCCGTAGCCAATGCGGATGAGCAAACTCCAGCCATCAACACCACCCCTGACATCCTCAGTCCCCTTCAAGAAATCTCGACTTCCCAAGCTGAGGTCGAAAAACTCCTCTGCGGAGTTGATACCAACAAAAGCCCCGGGTTCGACTCTATTCCAAACCGCCTACTCAAAGAAGCGGCTAAGGAACTTGCACCGTCGTTATCGTCCCTCTTTAATCTATCGTTCCAAACCGGAGAAATCCCACAGGAGTGGAAAGATGCCACCATTACTCCAGTACCCAAGCCTGGTGACCCAACCCAACCACCAAACTACAGACCCATCTCTCTCTCTTGAGCACTACATCAAAAATCCCAAGTAAAAATTGCACATCAACTCCTCTACAAGCACATCACACCCCGCCTACCCAACCAGCAGTCCGGATTCCGTGAGAAAGACGGCAATGAGCAGCAGCTTGCTCGTCTCGTCCATACCCTCTCCACTGCAAGAGACGACGGGAAACACGTCAAAGCCTGCTTTTTGATCTAAGCAAGGCCTTCGATCGTGTGTGGCATGCAGGCCTTCTAGCAAAACTCTCCCACTATGGTGTCCAGGGCAACGCCCTGCAATGGTTCCGACGGTACCTGTTGGGGCGCCGGCAGAGGGTCCAGGTGGATGGCGCCTTTCCTCGAGATCCCTGCCGGCGTCCCTCAGGGATCTGTTCTTGGGCCGCTTCTATTCCTCGTCTACACCATAGACCTTCCACACGCATGTGAGAATCCCGGCACCACCAGTAGCCAATTTCCAGATGACACCTCTCTGATTTCCATAGCGAGAACTCTTCAAGACTGCACCCGAAACCTACAACAGAGTGTCACAGCAGCTGGAGACTGGCTTCAAAGATGGCACCTGCTGGCCAACACAAAGAAAACAGTCATCCTCCGGTTCTACCACAATACCCGCCCCCCTGAACAGCTACCCCAGATCACCCTCAGGAATAGTCCGCTTACCGTAGCACAGAAACACAAACACCTCGGAATAATCTTTCAGCTTGACCTCCGTTGGACGGAGCATGTTGAATACATAGTCAAAAAATCACTCAAGTCTTTCAATATTCTTTTTAGACTAAGGTCTACACTCACCAGTGATTCTTTATCTCACATCTATCAGACATACATACTACCCATATTCTCATATGCGGGCAATGCTCTCACACTGTTGTCACACACTTCCCTTGACAGGCTAGAACAACTCCAGCGGAAAGCCGCCAGAATATGTCTCCACCTTCCCCTTTACACACACTTAGAACACTCCCACCTTTTGCATCGCATCAAATGGCCAACATTATTTTCACGCTTTAAAGTTAAACATATACTCTTGGCGCATTCTCTGCGCCATAATTATGCCCCACCACATATTCTCTCGCTGCATACTGCTAGCAACGTGCAACCTTTGTATAATTTACGTCGCTCTCGTAATTGGCACTTGCTAACTCCGCGGACTGATCACTGTCTCCATTCATCCCTGTGCAATGCCCTTCATTACTTAAAAGGGGAAGTATACCCTAAATCAAATTTTCACCAGTTGTAGTATTCGGGGTGCTGAATCGAATGGTCTTGGTCCGAGGAAGCTGAGACGCTCCCTTCCTCCTCTATTCTCAATCGAACTCGCGCACTTCCACCAAAACTGGGTGACTGCGCCCTACTAGATAGGGATTTGTATGGAAAAGTCACTAAAAACGCCGTTTCGTTCTTATAAGGCCATCATTTTTTATAGCTATGTTTCGCGTCGTCCGCACGCATACGTTTTGATTTTTTTGGAAAAAAATAAAAAATCGAACATGCACCGTGAATGTACGATCATGCGAGTCATAAGTGTGGATTGGTTGCATACGGCGAAGCTTGGATTCAGAAATGGCCTCTACTAGGCTCTAGGCCAGCATTGGTAAATTGTTTGTTCGGCATCTGGGAGCAATATTCTATGAGCTTACACCAGACCGCATTGATCGCCTCAAGCTGAGAGGATGCGTCGTTCCGGAGCTCTTTGCACCGCTGCTGAAGTCTGAGTACAATAATCCAGCGAAGCATAGGCACCAACGGTTGCCTCCTCCGTCCAAAGTGAATATTTACTCATGCTGATAACCAAGATCAGATAGGCATTAGCCTTTGGGTAATCCTGAAATAAAGATTATTATTACATGTTGTGCTTCGATGTATGATTTTTCTTTCGAATATACGCCATGCACGAGCTTTTTGTGCTATGTACAGTGCATACACCTCTGATGAGCCTTTTTTTATTATATTGCAACTTTTTATTTTTTTCCACCTCTCGCATATGATTCGGGAAGTTGACCTGACGCGAAACATAGATATAAAAATGATGGCCTAAAAGTGCAGATGACCGCGATTGGTCCACATTTTGTAGTCTTTTGGCCGCTGAGTCGACTGGTGTTGGTCCGAAAGGCTGCGATGCAGCGTTCGGTCCTTATTCCCAATCGAACACGGTTGAGTAAGCGGTCACGTGCTCATTTACAGCCTGTTTGGGCCCGTTTATGTCACTCGAGTTGAACCTTTGAACCAGGGAGTCGTAAAAGCCTCCTATGACTTCCTGCTTTGAACCTTTGAGTTGAACCTTGATGTGAAAATTGTAGTCTGCAGGCACGGTGACCAGGCGACTGGTGTACGCATGAGAAGTGACAGCTAACTCAACCGTGTTCGATTGAGAATAAGGGCCGAACGCTGCATCGCAGCCTTTTCGGACCAAAACCAGTCGACTCAGTGGCCAGAAGGCTACAACATATGGACCAATCGCGGTCATCCGTGCTTTTATAAGAACGAAACGGCGTTTTTAGTGACCTTTTCCATACAAATCCCTATCTAGTAGGGTGCAGTCACCCAGTTTCGTTGGAAGTGCGCGAGTTCGATTGGAAACAAAGGAGGAAGGGAGCGTCTCAGCTTCTTCGGACCAAGACCATTCGACTCAGCACCCCGAAGACTACAACTGGTGAAAATTTGATTTTAGGGTATACTTCCCCTTTAATTGCTTGCCCACCCAGCTTCGCGAAATCCCTTCTCGTACTCTCTTCAAATCCGAGGTATCCCTGCTGTTGCACAACTCTGTATGCTCGTGTAGCGACCACCCCTGCCCGTACACTTCAGTAGTCATTAACCGCTAGGCTCTGCCTATCCAATTCTTCCTCACTCTTTCTCCTTTCTTACACTATTATCTCTTATTGGCCACTGGCTATCGTGAGAATAAAGATTTGAAACAACAACAGCAACAACACACCACCCAACTTCTTTATCTCTGATATTGCTGACGCACCAGAGTCGACCGCTTTCCAGAGACATTGCCAATCCAAGGGGGTGCAACTGCAATTTCTTTTCCGATGGGTTCAAAGATGTAGCGACCGAAAGCATGGAGTGTTGGGATATCGCTTTCTGTAAGCACACACACGTAGCTACATCGTAAAACCTTACACTTTTGGTACGGTGTGTACGTGAATCGATCGCATAATATGATCGCCTCATGGTCGATCCATAAAACCTTCGTCGCTCCATCGTTTCTTGTGCAAATTCAACAAACGAAGGATCTATGTGGTAGCGGAAACTCCAAGCTTCCAAATGCAGCAATCACCGAAGGTCTACAACGTCAGAATCCAGAGATTTTGCGCGTCATATTCTTATCTTCGCAAATTCAAATTTTTGATCGATCTCTGCCATTTTAGGGGAAAATCACTTTCCGGGTGCTCTTTGATCAACTGAGCACATGATAATGCCGTAGCTGGCTGAAGTTTGAATTGCCCTGCAAAAATCAGAGTGTTCTGCGGCCGAAGAGAGTGGAGTGGCTTTGATGGGGGAATTTGCTCACATACTGTAAAAGCCCGTGTATAGGCCCCAGGCGTATAGAATAGCAGCCTCGATTTCCTGGGCGTATACAAGGGCACAGGTGTTATTTTGGAACCGGACATATACTTGGAATAGGGATGGCAGTAAGTATTGGGTATCAGTACCTGTACATGTACTGGTGTTGCCGGCATACCTGGGCGTATACATGGGCATGGGTGCTATTTTGAAACAAACCTGTTGACTTCCCCTGACTGGGCGTGTACACAGAGGGTGGGCGTAATTTCGAGTGGGAGTATACAGGGGCTTTTAGGGTATCGGGCCTCGAGACGACTTTGCTGTGTTTCCGCGCCTGATTTGTGGCAGCTAGTTGATGGAGCCTGGTATCCTGGGGTCGCTGTCGCCAAGAGCGTTCCAACTCGCCCAAGATTGTTGAAGTGGAGTGAAGGAGGCCAAAGTTATGGCCTGTTGAAGGTGAAAATGTGCTGAAAATTCAAATTCTGCTTCATTCTGTGCTGGAAATCAGTTCATAAAGGGTTAACATTGAAAACTTACAGTCTCACTAACTGCGGCACGGTATCAAAAATGCCGGCAGGCAGTGTTGAGAGCTTGTTGTCTGTCAAGGTCCTGTGAAACCCAAAGTGAAAGAAAGTAGAACTCGGATGGTGAGCCAATTAAATTATGGTGAAAAAGGAGAAGGAGAAAATGTTACGAGTTATGAAACAAAGCACAACAAGTAAACAGCAGCATTGAGCAAATTTATTTTTGAAATCCAATAACTCATCACAACAAACATTGATCTGAACGGTCACAATAACAGCTACAGTAGGGAGACTACAACACCGAGGTGCATGCCAAAGAGAGGTCAACAGCGGAACCGTGAACTGCCGCGGAGTGTAATCGAGCTATGCCGTTGCTGTGCATGTACTATGCGCCATACGCTAGCTGATGCACTAACCTGCTATGTCGGATACCAGCAAGAGTATATTGTAGTACATGCATTTCTGCATTTCTGTATATATAAATCATTTTTCGTAAAATGGCCTCTGTATATATTTTCGCGTGAAAGAAATAAGTTTCTCTTTCGCCCCAACTTCGCTGTGGTCTGTTTGGCCATTGTAGCCGTCATGGTTGACGTAAAACAACATAACATAACCAAGAGTGTGCAACTCGATGATCCCCTAGCCCACGGCGAATTTTTTTATGACATCAGTCTTTGGCGGCGGTTTGGTGCACTGACATGATGCCATCATGCGTAGCCAGAGATCAAAGTACGAATAATTTGTACATTACAGCTACGGTAGTCGAAGCAGAACAACGGACGATAGATCGATTTGTCTTGAACCTGATGAACTCTCACCATATCTACAAAACAAGCGCGGGAAAGCATACGCACTTCAGCATACTTCTGCCAAAGAATGACGCAATAAAAAATCCCGCCGTGGGTGAACCCATCTCAGCTCAAGAGAAGAGTTGCACACTCTTGGTATGTTCTCTTGATACCACTAACCCATGCATTGACTAGGTGCCAGGCGCAAAACTGACGGTGGTGGTGGTGGTGAGAAGGAGAGCTCTGTGCCAGAGTAACCTTGCACCGTAGAGAACGTGTGTGGGCAGGCGTGTATTTACCGCCATTTTTTTACAATATAGTGAATATACACAACTCACCGACAGTCACATGGGGCTAGCATGGGGTGAGATGGTGCTGGCGGGGCCTGCCATGCTCAACCGACCAGAGGTCTCGGCATCTTCACATGGCAGGCGCACCAAATTAGGGAGAAAAGCACCACCCAAAGTTACCACCCTATGAATCGACACGTGTGCAATCTCGAGCAGAAAAAAGGCTAAATGCATTGAAATCCACACATGTGAGAGTTAGTGGTAGATTTTTCTTTTGACCACACGAGACGAGGCGAGACGACGCTTGCAGACACCAGCACGAACACTGCACCAGTCACACTCCACAACAGCTAGTTGTTCCTGACGAGCCTTGTTTCGTTCCATTATGGTGTTGGGAACTCATCAGAGGAGAGGTAGATGTTGAATGAGACCTACGGACCTACTGAAGATGGCATCACCAAATTACATGTGAGAATGTTGGAACTGAGAGAAAACTCTTCAAGTAGTAAGCAGGCACACTAGCATGTCCATTCACATGGGTCTTACACTTACAAACACATTGGTCACTGCCTTTCACAATCTATAATTGGCTAATATTAAGTCGTGCTGTTTGCTCCTCCTGATTATGTTAGGTTTCAAACTCTAAGGGGTCGTCGCAAAAGTTTTCTGTCGTCCCTGAAACGAACATCGTTCATTTTGTACTCGGACCCCTCCCCTTCCAGGGGCGTCGGAACCGGTGCGGCAGGTGCGGCCAAAGCCGCACCAATAATTTTCGATTTTTTAATTTTTTTTACATTTCAACCTTGTTGCCAATGTTGGTGGCTTGTCGACTCTTGTACAGGTACCATGTTTTACATCGACAATGCGGTGTATCATTAGCATGCATATTCTTTTCTTATTATTCTGTAGCGTTAAAATATGGCTTTTTAAGCCCAATTTTCAATTTTTTTTTTTCCCGGGGGAGGACCCCGGACCCCCTCTCACACTTTCGCCGCACCAATGTTAAACTCCTTCCGACGCCCCGGCCTTCCTCTGAAAGGAAAACAGCTTGCTATGCTGGACGACAAAAATCGCATTCATGTTAATGTCATATGTACAGTGTTGGTTGACTTGCGATTTTGATTATACATTGGCACACGTAGGCGCGACGATTCTCCTCCGCAGAATGGAAGCGCGCACCGTTGTGCTGGTACACCATGGCACACAGGAGATTGGCCTGCATCAGCAAACCTACCTCTGACTAACTCTAGGCTCTTGGCTGAAGTTGCCAGTTTTGCTAAGTTCATGGGAGAATTTTGATCTACTTCGGCACCATTTCCAACCACCTACAGTCCATTTCAAAAATATAGATGCATGGTATTTTTGAAATATTTCAAATTTGGCTGGAGTTTTTGAGAATTTTTTTCCGGAATATTGCTTATGTCCTTCCCGCAATTGCTCTCACATAGATTTTTTTAAGCGATCGGATAGCAAACGGCTAATTTTCGAAATTTGTGTGCACAAAGTGATCACAGATTTTATGCGGTATAGATGCTGGCCTGACGGTTTTTTGAACGACGCGTCTATATTTTTGAAAGGCACTGTAGGACGTATACCATGTATATGGCATGGCGTCTTGGCAAGGAAAGTGGGCGGCGAGTACATAAAGTTCCGTTGCTACTGGCTGGAAAACCATGCTTAGCATCCAGTTGAACAAATAGGCGGTATCTGTATCAATGACCTCAAATAGGTATATTCCGTTGGCCAAAGATATCCAGTATCCATACAAATATTGCCGAGCTACGCCACTGATTGCAGACTTTGACTCTTTAAAATAGGCAAAAAGAGCTGTATAGCTGCTCAGTAACTTGAAGTTTCACGCATTTCAGCGATCATCAGACATGATGATCGCTGAAATACGTGAAACTTCAAGTTAGCAGCTACACAGCCTTTTGCCTCTGTTCTATGTGTATACTGCTTTGCACATTTGTGCATTGAGCACTCTTTAAAAGAGCTGAACAGCAACTTACAGAATTGCCAACCGAGTTAAGTTGAAGAAAAGCCCAAGCGGTATATCCGAGATGCCAGAGTCAACCATCACTCTGCACATGGCACGAAGACAGTGAGAGAGTCAACATTGCCGGTTTAAGTTATTGATGTACGTTCTAGTTTTCAAAGACAGTATGCACACAAACGCTACATACCGAGGGACAAGTAACTATGCTTATAGTCAATTCGTATGAAGAAGAGAGCTGCAAGTTACGCTATAATATCCACTAACATCACCAGTTACTTTACAATCAGCTCATGTGATAACATTGCGCGACACTGACCTGCTAACACTGACCTACTAACACTGACCTACTGACACTGACCTGTTAACACTGACCTACTAACACTGACCTACTAACACCGACCTGTTAACACTGACCTACTAACACTGACCTGCTAACACTGACCTGCTAACACCGACCTGTTAACACTGACCTACTAACACTGACCTACTAACACTGACCTACTAACACTGACCTGCTAACACTGACCTACTAACACTGACCTACTAACACTGACCTGTTAACACTGACCTACTAACACTGACCTGCTAACACCGACCTGTTAACACTGACCTACTAACACTGACCTGCTAACACTGACCTACTAACACTGACCTACTAACACTGACCTGTTAACACTGACCTACTAACACTGACCTACTAACACCGACCTGTTAACACTGACCTACTGACACTGACCTGCTAACACTGACCTGCTAACACCGACCTGTTAACACTGACCTACTTACACTGACCTACTAACACTGACCTACTGACACTGACCTGCTAACACTGACCTACTAACACTGACCTACTAACACTGACCTGCTAACACCGACCTGTTAACACTGACCTGTTAACACTGACCTGCTAACACTGACCTGTTAACACTGACCTACTAACACTGACCTGTTAACACTGACCTACTAACACTGACCTACTAACACTGACCTGTTAACACTGACCTGTTAACACTGACCTACTAACACTGACCTACTAACACTGACCTGCTAACACTGACCTGCTAACACCGACCTGTTAACACTGACCTGTTAACACTGACCTGCTAACACTGACCTACTAACACTGACCTACTGAGCCTAACTAGAGCCAATTCACAAAGTATTTGAAGAAGAGGTTGGTGCCACTTCGGCGATACTTAGGAAATTGTGTGCCGCTCCCTACGTGTGAGCTCGCGCTTTTCCTGTCGACTGTCTGCACCTTCATGCTGGTAAGCGACACTGAGTCACGCTGCTGTCAGGTTCTCGAGGTGTTTACCGCGCTGGAAATGGAGTGTTACCATAAGTTAGTATCTAGTCATGTTCGGGCTTGGCTCTCGGAACACAAATTTCAATAGCCCACTCAAGCTCAACTGATGAGGGGTGAATTCCTCGAATTCCTCTTGACAGAGAAACCCACTCAGCTGTTATGCGAGTCATCAGAATGATTATGGCAGTCATTTGGACTGTGCTCGCAATAGCCTTCGCTGTGTATAGCACAAATCATGCTTGGATGAGGTGACGTGAGTTTTCTGGGAGTTACAGCAAAGTATGGACATCACAATTGTGTTCATGGTCCACAGCTTCATGCTGTATATCAATGAACTTTCTTCAGTTCAGAACAATTCTACAAAAAAACCAAACTGTGAATCTGGTTTACTTACATGGTGTAAAGTTTAGGGTAGCCTTGAAATGTGTCCTTGTGCAAGCCATCACTTAAGTTGTAGCTGTAGAGAATACTGCAAAGTTAAAACACAAGACAAACAGCGCACACCGACACACACACACACACACACACCGAAACAGACGCACCGACACCGACACAGACACACACACCAACACACACGTGCACGCGTGCGCGTACGGACACACCGACACAGACACACACACGCATGCACAACCCAGTATACACTTCAGACAGACCACCAGCTGCTAGTCAATCACCAGGCTGTACAGGAGGTCTTCCCTAGTTGGTGTCCCCAAGTCTCAAAAAGCGGAAATGGCTCTCCAGGCAATGCAATAACATAACACATATTCCAGGACGTCAGAATACGCTTGCTGACCATATGCCACGCAAATTGATTTAAAACTCCGGTGGGACATCATTTCTTGCTCTTGATTGGGTTCCTGCTGAGCCCCACCCTCAAGTTGGCTGCATTCCATTGACCATCGACCAAATGATAACATGAGCCGTGATCAGCAAAAACAGACCTATAGGTCAAATTTTTAAAAAGTGGTCTTACTGAAAATTGCGTGTATGTACTTGGCGGTCATGTGTACAAAGTTAGAAGCAGGTTGGAGAAGAGAAAGTGAGCAAACTAATTGATTGGAATGATACACCCCCTGTCGTTGAAATAACGTATTGATAGGAATGATACACCCCCTGTCGGTGAAATAACGCATTGATTGGAATGATACACCCCCTGTCGGTGAAATAACGTATTGATTGGAGTGATACACCCCCTGTCGGTGAAATAACATATTGATTGGAATGATACACCCCCTGTCGGTGAAATAACACATTGATTGGAATGATACACCCCCTGTCGGTGAAATAACATGCGCAATACAGTAAAACATGTCAAGGCGACCCATGACTCGGATAAGGCGGCCACCTGCCCCATAAGACCACTGTAACCAGGATAAGAGCTGCTATTTCCAGTCTAATGACCTTGGATAAGGAGACCACCTGGCTACAGAGACCACATTTTGAAGGTCCCTTGAGCGGCCTTAGACAGGTTTCACCGTATCCAAAAAAGCAATTCTGTGAGGACCATTGTCACTTTGTTTCCTATAGTTGCTTTTCCACATCCAGAATATGAGAGAATGGTATCAGCAAGGACCCTTTTCTTCTTTGAAAACCATTTCCCCGCAATTCTTCAAAACACGATTTTCTCCATTTTTTCCGGCAAAAGCTGTAGGTCGATGCTAGTGGATCACGGCTCACACTATTAATTTATTACAATTGTAATTACAGTGAAACCTGTCTAAGACGACCGCTCAAGGGACCGTCAAAAACGTGGTCTCCATTACCAGGTGGTCTCCTTATCCAGGGTCATTTGGCTGGAAATAGCATCCCTTGATCCTGGTTTCCGGTGGTCTTCTAGGACAGGTGGTCGCCTTATCCGAGTGGTCGCCTTCACATGTTTTATTATTGCAAAGAGTGTGCATGCATGGTTAGTGCTGGTGTGTAGGTGAAGATTTTAACACAGTGCACACGTGTGTGTGTTGTTTTCCCTTGCATATCATCCCTTCATCATTCTGTGAGAACCTGTCCTATGGGCAGGTGAGAAGGCATCTCTGCCTGTTCATTTGGTGAAGTAAAATAAACAACAACAACTGTGGATCATATCCTTGACTGGCAGCAATCACATCGAATCTCCAATCCAGTTGGCCTTGGTTCACAAAAACCGAAGCAGACTACTCTTCGACAATTGTATTCTCGCATCCAGTCTCTTCCGCCCGTGGAACGAAAAGACGAGAGCTAACGGGACCTCAAACTGCCGCCCAACGTCAACCTGTTGAACAAGAGGACCCTTGCTGAACCGAGAGCAAACAGGAGTGCCAACCGCTGTCCAACATCCACTGCACATGCGCATGTACTAAATGACAATCAGCGAGAATTTGCTTTCTTCCCCAGGGTCACACTCACAAATGAATAGATCTCTATCGATCCAATCATGCTCACATGGAGAAATCTGGCCGACAATCCATGATCTGGCGTCACAGGTCATCAGTGCACCGTGTTAATAATTATCTTGATAATAGAATTTGATCATAGGACAGAAGCGGAACGTATAATTATACCCACATAATTATATTATTACGCGTGCTGTGGTATTATTATTATTATTATTATTATTGTAGAAAGGAAAAAAGACATTATGGATACGAGTTAAGAGTAACTCTCCATCACTGTAACATGATACTTTATACAGTCAGAAAGTGCAATAACTAGGCACAAAACTGACAGAGTACTGAGACATTCGACGCCCTGACACCTAGCTTCAACACATCTCTGTAGCGCTAACCGACAGCCTTCCAACTTGGAAGGTTCAAGGTTATGGATGGAAAGACCAAAGAGGGGAAGGCAAGCGCAACGAAAATGAGCAAAAGCTACAGTCCCAACGGAACAAAGAATGTCGATTGTTACTGGATGATGACGAGACCAGTACGATATATTATGACATTCCCCTCTTTGGTCTTTCCATAACCTTGAACCTTCCAAGTTGGAAGGCTATCGGTTAGCGCTACGGAGATGTGTTGAAGTTAGGTGTCAGGACGTCGAATGTCTCAGTACTCTGTCAGTTTTGTGCCTAGTTATTGCACTTTCTGACTGTATAATTAACTCATATCCATAATGTCTTTTTTCCTTTCTACATATTTATGGCTCAACATTCGAGTTTCAAATTATTATTATTATTATTATTATTTATTAATCATGCTCATGTAAATAAAAGCTTGAACATACGACGTGCAGCAAACAATTTCCTATCTTGTCTCACCAGTATAGCTTTTAGCAGAGCTAGTTTCTTGCTGATCTTGAATTCCCGTTTTCACTCAAGAGTATAAATCCTATCGCAGTTTCATCATTCCCTTCAGTCGCGAATTCCACTGACAGTTGGGACAAGAAATCGGTCTGGAACCCTTGGATTAGTTGCTACGATTGTGATACGAGTGTGCACATGGTTTTGTTCATTGCCTTATTATATACCGCGCTGGGAGCAGGGAGCGTGTACTGTGCTAACAAATGCGGTGATGCATGCGTGAACCACTATACATGCAAGGAACTGTGCCGACACCCACGGTCAGCTGTGTACTCACTACTCGGAGTGAGGGTAACATGGATGCAGCTAACGAGGTATTCGCCCCCTTGTCGGGCATTGGTTGTGAGAGTTACCAGCTCACCCTCGCCGTTAGGCGCTGCATCTGCCACCCTGGTATGACAGGCATGGTGGTGGCCAGGCACATGTGCTACTTCCTAAGCTGGTTGTGTTTCTCAATACAATTGTATAGCCGGTGGTAACGCGAACGTGCAAACTTTACTTTATTGAAAATAAGGCTTGGTTGGCATATCAGGAATACTCACATGCCCGTGACTGAGAAAAGAGACGCATTGTTCGCATCGCTCAAAATGTATCGCGGCAGACCTCGTTGGCCAGGTGTATTGACAGAAGCCATTGCGGTGGGGCAAGATGGTCTTGTACAAACTTGTGTAAATGCTGCCAAGGTCGAAAGTCATGTGCATACAAACCAGAGAGAGAGAGAGAGAGAGAGAGAGAGAGAGAGAGAGAGAGAGAGAGAGAGAGAGAGAGAGAGAGAGAGAGAGAGAGAGAGAGAGAGAGAGAGAGAGAGAGAGAGAGAGAGAGAGAGAGAGAGAGAGAGAGAGAGAGAGAGAGAGAGAGAGAGAGAGAGATAGATAGATAGAGAGAGAGGGAGAGAGAGAGAAAAAGAGAGAGAGACAAGAAAAGAAAGAGAAAACCCTAAAGAAATATACCTACATGAGCAATTATCATAAAATTGCCTCAAAGAGAACACAAAGTCAACTTTTCTTTTCTATTTTAGAGTAATTTTATACACTTTTCAAACTTTGATGTCGAACCATTAGTATTCGTGTCTAAGAGCAAGGGCATATAACCCTCAAGACTACAACTCTTCACACTATAACTGGTGACATGCGCCAATTGTTGCCAAACTGAGCACAGCATAATACACACACAGCACAAAAGTGCATGTTTCCAAAAGTACACAACTCGGTGATCTCTCTGAATTTAATATCACTGTCTTTCGCAGCAAATAGACTCACTGATGAAACTATACTTGACCAGATCAAAAGTGCAAGGAACTTCTTCATCGCGGCTACATCAGTCCCAGCAGAACAACAGGTGGTTAATCCGTTCACTCTGACCCTGCTGAACAATGCATGACAAGCATGGTTCTAGCCCAAGGGGGGGAGGGGGAGCACTGCCCCTCCCCCCCCCCCCCCCCAGCCCCCAAAACGACTGAGTGTCCCCTGTGAAAAATTAGCGTCCCTACTCACGTGTCGATATGTCTGTTCTTCTTTTATGCCATCCAACGAAAATGCAGTCGATAGTCATTACTAGAGGGTATGTAACGCACATTTGTCTGGGCTGAAGTCGAGCGTTCTTCTCAACCTTGCATTTTGCATGGCAAGACGATTTTGAAAAAATGAAAAATGCGTTAAGGGGCAGTTGTTTCCCCTGCCCTCCTCCTCTCCCCCCCCCCCCTCCCCCCCTCCCCCCCCCCCCCCCACACACCCTCTTGTGACCTGGCTAAAACCCAAACAAGTAAGTAGTGCGCCTAGCACTTGATCACACGTTCACCAAGAAATGGCGCAATAAGTCTTTCACCGTACGTCCACACACACACACACACACACACACACACACACACACACACACACATGCACACACACACACACACACACACACACACACCATTAGACCATTGGACGCCCATCGCCGGAGGCGATGATAGCGATGCTACAGCAGAAGCCATAGCAGCTTGTGCTGGGATTGCACCATTCAACAGGTTGCAAGGCTGAAGAATTGACCGCCACTATTCAGCCTGGTCTACACCACACAGCTATGAAGTGGCTTTTTCTGGCCAGTGAATCCCTATTTTTTGGTCTTTTTCACACACACACACACACACACACGCACCCACACACACACACCCACACACACCCACACCCACACCCACACACACACTTGCCCACATGCTTGCCCCGCCCCTCCAACACACAAATGCTTGAGCAGTAATAGTCTTAGCATCTCGGCAGACGACATAGACAACTGCAACACTAAACGATGTAGGCTCCCCTCCTGGGCTGCCCGTTCGAGTCGCACTTAGAGCGGAAAATATGCATGCAAGTACACATAAACCATTGCCGATTTGGTTAGGGGAGGGGGGGGGTGTCAATAGGTCACGACCTTGATTTCAAGTTGAAATGGACCATTAACTGCAGGGAAGGTCCAAATCTGGGGCCCGGAGCACATCATACGGCCTGGATCCTATCATCTCGTCTTGTCTCCCTGATGTGCACATACGCATGGATGCATGCATGCACGCACGCACACACCCACACAACCGTACAGTACAGTACATACGTATGCAGACTGAGGCATTATTGGGATCCGGATAGCCTGGATACTCGCATGTCTTGTTGCCTGAAGGAAGAAAGAGAGAGAGAGAGTTAGACCACACACCATTTCCCACAACTTCAAAATCGAAAACAAGGAACTAATCGAGGCTGAACCTATACCATTCAGTGACAGTGGCCTTTTCGATGTAGAAACAGTGAGTAATAGTAGTAGAGTCAGACCTCGCTTATCCGGTCCTCTTTTATCCGGATCCCTCGCCATCCGGAAGAAAACCCTTGGTTACCGAATTACAGCATATGCCATGCATACATACAGTATGTGTGTTCGATTATCCGGTTCCTTCGCCTATCCGGATATTTTTTAGGAAAACGGATGTGTGCGGTTATGCGAGGTCTGACTGTACCAATATCAAAGGAATTAGTAGCATTAATAGCAGCAAAGGCACCCATGCCAGCAGCAGCACCAACCACCACCACAGCCGCCGCCACCACCACCTCCAACTGCTGCTGCAGCAGCAGTTGGAGTGACGACAACAACTTCAACAACACAGGCTATCGTGAGAGTGAAGACTACCACACACCAGCGCACGGCACCGACAATGCAAAAGCAGCAGCAGCAACACCAGCAGCAGCAACAACACAAGCACCAGCAGCAGCAGCACCACCACCACTACCACCACCAACAGCACAAGCAGCACAAGGTCGTCACAGCTGGGGCGGCCTTAGCCGCCCCACTTTTTAGGCATTTTTTAGCACACTGCAACAAAGCGCGATGATTGCAGCTCAGCGCAAATGTGGCAAATCCTTGTCCCCGATCGTGGTTTGTTGCAGAATCAAAAAATCTGTCATTGCAGTTACACTGAAATGACACCAAATGTCTGGAAATGCTTGCAAATTGGCTTCACTGTTTTGAATTTTTTCCCAGGGGAGGGTAATGTTTGTCCCCGATCGTAGTGTCTTCTTGGTTTATTGCAGAACCAAAAAGTCTTTCATTGTAGTTACACTGAAATGGCACCAAATGCCCGGAAATGCTTGCAATTGGCTTCATTTTATGATTTTTTCCGGGGGACGACCCCGGACACCCCTCCATGGCCGCCCCACCTCCAAAGCCGGTGCGACGAGCCTGCAGCAACACCAGCAGCAGCAGCAGCAACAACAGCAGCAACAGCACAAGCAGCACAAGCAGCAACAACAGCAGCAACAGCAGCAGCAACGGCAGCAGCAACAGCAGCAGCAGCAGCAGCACCACCACCACCACCACCACCACCAGCAGCAGCAGAAGCAGCAGCAGCAGCAGCAGCAGCAACAAAAACAGCACCAGCACCACCACCAGCACCACTACCAACAGCAGCAGCAACAACAGCACCACCACCAGCACCACCACCAGCAGCACCAGCAGCAGCAGTCATCAGCTGCATGCCACTGAAACCCACTCACTTGATGACGACGATGTACCGCTAGCAGCGGACGTTGTGACGCCACTAATGCAGCAGACAAGGGCTATGAGCAGCAAGTTGAGCTGGAGAGGTGTGCTCGACTTGTCCGCCGCCATTTTCTTCACCATAGTGACGTACGGTGCAGCAGCAGCAACGAGGTGGCAGATATGCGCTGTCGGCCGACCGTGACCTGGGCAGCAAAAGGTGGTGAGGACATCATTATTAAGTTTTAAACTCAGACGGAGCAAGGATTAATTTACTAGTACAGCTAAACCTGTGGCTAATGATCCCCCCCCCCCCCTTGGGGCCAGAGAAAGAGGTCTTTAGTGGTAGGTGGTCTCTAGTTAGAGGTTTCCACCGCACAATCATAATATGAACGTGAGACCATCCGTGCCTGGCAAAGTGGTCTGTAGTACCAGGCTGGTCGCTAGTCACGGTGGTCTGTAGTACCAGGCTGGTCGCTAGTCACGGTGGTCTGTAGTACCAGGCTGGTCGCTAGTCACGGTGGTCTGTAGTACCAGGCTGGTCGCTAGTCACGGTGGTCTGTAGTACCAGGCTGGTCGCTAGTCACGGTGGTCTGTAGTACCAGGCTGGTCGCTAGTCACGGTGGTCTGTAGTACCAGGCTGGTCGCTAGTCACGGTGGTCTGTAGTACCAGGCTGGTCGCTAGTCACGGTGGTCTGTAGTACCAGGCTGGTCGCTAGTCACGGTGGTCTGTAGTACCAGGCTGGTCGCTAGTCACGGTGGTCTGTAGTACCAGGCTGGTCGCTAGTCACGGTGGTCCGCAGTACCAGGCTGGTCGCTAGTCACGGTGGTCTGTAGTACCAGGCTGGTCGCTAGTCACGGTGGTCTGTAGTACCAGGCTGGTCGCTAGTCACGGTGGTCTGTAGTACCAGGCTGGTCGCTAGTCACGGTGGTCTGTAGTACCAGGCTGGTCGCTAGTCACGGTGGTCCGCAGTACCAGGCTGGTCGCTAGTCACGGTGGTCTGTAGTACCAGGCTGGTCGCTAGTCACGGTGGTCGGTAGTACCAGGCTGGTCGCTAGTCACAGTGGTCTGTAGTACCAGGCTGGTCGCTAGTCACGGTGGTCTGTACAGGCTGGTCGCTGGTTTCTAGTCTTTAGTTACAGGTTTTACTGTACTTTACGGGCAGAAAATTTCGTCGGTCAATATTTTCGCCAAACTCCAAAGAAAGGGAGTTAGTCCGGTTGAAAATTTCGTCCATGGATCACAAGAGTGTATTGAAAAGCTGGAAAAATCGACACATTCATCCGACATTTTTTTAATTTAGTCCAAAAGCTCCTTGGACGAAAAAGACGAAATTAAATTCCAGACGAATATTTCTGCTTATTCAGTATAGGAAGTCAGCATGTGAGCGTACGCTTTCTTGACCCGACGCGTGTCTGCCTCCCATACCGCAGTCGTGTATAAAAGCAGCGGCTTCTATGACTTTCTTGGGGAAATTTTGCAGGCTTCTATATGAGACAGGCTTTCTATACAAGACAGGTATTTCTATGTATGTAAACACTAAAACCACGCTTCTGTGCAGACAGTGCATCGTCAAAATCAGGCTTCTATTCAAGACAGGCTTCTAAATGAGACCGGCTTCAATACAAGACACTATGGTATATGCTATTGATATGTACAAATAATTGGATACGTGAACTCTTTCCACGGTTTAGCCTAGCGAATTGCGAGCACAGAATCATGGCAAATTCCAGTCGTTTGTTTACATGGGCGTAGACCGCTCATTCTGGGTTGGTTGGTTGGTTGGTTGGATTTATTTAAAGTCGTACAACAAACAGGCATATCGGCCTCCTTATATGGGTCATTCGAGAATTGTAAAACCTGGGTCAAGAGCATGTACCATACTCGTTCGACCAGAGCCCTCTCTTGACCAGAGCCCTCTCTTGACTAGTGCCCTCTCTTGACTACAGCCCTCTCTAGACCAGAGCCCTCTCTTGACCAGAGCCCTCTCTTGACTAGAGCCCTCTCTTGACTAGTGCCCTATCTCGAATAGTGCCCTCTCTTGACTAGTGCCCTCTCTTGACTAGTGCCCTATCTCGAATAGTGCCCCAGTCTTTAAGAACCAGTGAAAAAACAAAACCCTCTGTTGAATAGTGCGTGTGGCTCATTGGCATGCCACTGTTGCACGGTGAGCTCTAGACTAGCTAGACTAGCTAGACTGGCTAGACTGGCTTGATTATCCCACTGCTTCACAAGCTATTATAGGGTGGTACTGTCAGCCACCTGAAGTACTATTATTTTACTCCCAGGGTGGGGGTGGATCCTCTCAAAACTTTCGAAATTTAGAGCCCAAATCAGTGTATTTCATTGATTCACGGGGTACTTCTGTTCACACGAAGGAACACGTTATCTTATCTTTTCACTCCAAATACAATTACACCTGAAAGAGCAGCCTAGCTAGCTACACAACGCGAACCAAGGAACTACTAAAACCGAAAACATTCCATGTCGGTACACAACCGAAGACAAAAGGCAAAAGATGAAGTAATTTATGCCGCACTGTCAGCTGGCAAAACAGCAGAGGCGTAGCCACCGCACACGCGCTGTTGTACGGCACGAAAGCTAGCCATGATACTATGCAATACAAATGTATGACCATGCACAGCAACAAGCAACAACACACAGCTAAGAAGTATATGCATGTAATACATGAACGGCCAGTTGGAAATAGTTATGACGCCACTTTGTAGATCGCCCTCATGAATAGAAAACCACAAGAGAGACAGGGAAGACTACAGCCTACAGTGTAGCTCAGGCCTTGATACATGAATCACTATTGCAGTATTGGCACAAGACAGAGAAAGGACTGCTCCAGCTATCAATAATAAAAGGAACCATTACTTCTAGTCTTAGTGATGCCATGCCAGAGAAATATTACGTACTACCGTCTGAACATCCTCCCCCTCGCAATATGCACCCAGATGTTGCATGATGCCTATCCTTACAACTACCAGTACCAAGCTAAGAGAAAAGTGAATCGAAAGGGCAAGTTCAGTGGTAGGAAACTACAAAAAAACAAAAACAATGCATGAATCATTAATGGGGGTCGTCACTGAGCAGTACCTCCATTCTGGCATGTAGGGAGAGCCGTCTAACATTCCAGTGGACAGACTCGAGTGATGGATCTCTTCAGAGTCTTCCCGCCCACTTGCATGGCCACCACACGCACATGACCGTCCGGACCAGGGAAAACTTCCGTGACTCTGCCGAGCGGCCAACGCCCACGCGGGGAGCTTGAATCCATCACCAGGACAACGTCGTCAACGGCCAGATCGCGTCGCTGGTGTCGCCACTTCATCCGCTGATTCAACCGTGGGACAAACTCTTTCAGCCAGCGATGCCAGAAATGGTCGATGAGCATTTGAACATATCTCCAACGTCTCTGCAGTTGACACCCCTTCTCGTCCGTTGTTGCAATAACCAGCTGGCCCTCGGCCATGCCATGAAGGAAATGGTTCGGAGTTAGCGGCCCTGGATCCTTCGGACTAGCCGATTGGTAGGTGATGGGCCTGGAGTTGACGAGGGACTCTGCTCCGCTGAGAGCGGTGACCAACTCCTCGTCCGTCACAGATGCGTCTCCAAGGATGGCGTGTAGAGCTCGTTTGGCGGCTCGAATCATTGCCTCGTGAACTCCCCCGAAATGAGGAGCTAATGGCGGGTTGAAACTCCATTTCACGCGTCTGCAGGCCATGGCTTTCCGGACGGTGGTATTGTTCAGTTGGCCAACAAGCTCACGTAGCTGGCGGTCGGCATTCACGAAGTTGCCTCCATTGTCCGACAGAACCTCCATTGGACAACCTCGTCGGTTGGCCATCCGGTTAAAGGCGTTCAGGAAAGAATTTGCATCCAATGCGTACGCCATCTCCAAATGGACCGCACGAGTCAGCAAACACGTGAAGAGGCACAGATAGCGTTTGTGGCGAGTCTTTCCTCTCCCCTGCATAGTTTCGAACGGCCCTCCGTAGTCAACGGCTACCCTGCTGAAGGCTCTCAGTGGCTCACACAATCGCTTTGCTGGCAACGGGGCCATGATTTGCTCTCCCGCACGGGCTTTTAGTCGTCGACACACCATGCAGTCTTTCTCCCAGTCACGGATCTCCTCCCGTGCTGCTTCGACAAGATAGTGATCAGAGAGAGCTGCCAACGTTTCATTCGTCCCGCCATGATGACGTTGCTCATGGCAATCTTTGACAATAAGCCGGGTGGTCGGATGTTTCCGGGGGAGAAGAATCGGGAAGCGCACATCAAACGGCAACCAGTCAGCCAGCTTGGTGCGACCATCGCAGCGCAATAGTCCGTCGTCGTCCAGTCGAGGCGATAACCTCGCCAAACGTGACTTCAGCGGAAGTGGTTGACCATTCTTCACTAGCTTCAGATCCTCCGCGAATGCCTCGTGCTGTGCCTCTTTGATGATGGAAAGGCTGGCAGCGTCCATCTCCTCGCCGGTTAGCTCTCCGCTCAACTCCTCACCTCCACGGCAGTTGGTGATGAAGCGAATTGCCCAAGCCCGTACTCTGACTACGCGCGTCCAGTCTGAGAAGCGCCGAGAGCACAAGCTGGGTACTTTCTCGGACATAAATGACATCACCTCGGGCTGTGCAGCCTTGCGAGCTTCCGCTCGAGCAGCTGGGTCTTGGCCACCCACGATCTTGGCTGGCCATTCAGATTCTTCTTTCTGCAGGAAGGCCGGTCCTTGCCACCACAGCTCAGTTGCAACCAGTTGCTCTACCCCAGCTCCCCGTGACGCCAAGTCAGCTGGGTTGTCGCTGGAGGGAACGTACCGCCATTGACTGGGCGACGTAACAGTCTGGATGTGGCTGATGCGATTCGCCACAAACGGTTTGAAACGTCGGCTGTAGCTGCGAATCCAGAGCAGCACAGTTGCACTGTCGCTCCAGAAAATCACCTCTGACATGGCAATGGTCATGATCTGACTGAACTTCCGGGCCAGCTGAAGGCCAAGCACAGCCGCCAGCAATTCCAGCCGGGGGAAACTTTGTGTTCTTGTCGGCGCCACTCTGCTCTTGGCTCCAGCGAGACGAACGTTTCCCTCAGAGCCACGCTGCACGGTGGAGCTGTAGACCACGGCACCATACGCCACACTCGACGCATCACAGAAAACATGCAGCGTCACTCCACTGGCCA